AACGACGAAAATTGATTTCGCGTCTTTTGAAGCTGCTATGCATATTCAAATCGTACATGATATTCTGGATCAATTCGTTGCGCATACGTTGGCAACACCAAATATATAAGCTTCATGAGCATTGGGTTGTGTTAGTGCTGATTGACGACGAAAATTGATTTCGCGTCTTCGAAGAATCAAGCCAATCGGTATAGTCAAATTCAAATCGTACTTAATATTCTGGGTCGATTTTTCGTACACACATTGAAAACAGTCGTAATTAACAATTACGTGAATTGGATTCTCGGTTATTGAGTTAGTGATAATTAACGATGAAATTGACTCGAAGAATCATGCCAAGCGGTATATCGAAATTCAAATCATACATAATATTCTGGGTCAATTCGTTGCGCACACGTTGGCTTACCAAACATATGAGCTTCATGAGCATTGGATTCTTGGTTGTTGTGTTCTTACTACGCTCACTACTTTCTATATTAATATGTACAATGTTATCATTGGGTTTTCGATGAAATTTATATCGGTGAAACGTACTGCTGGTGAAATGAACCGGACCCAACATGAGTCAATACCAAGGCGGAATGTTATCCATAGTAGAGATGACAATATTATGTAGAGGTTGAGTTACCTCTTCGATGTCTTGTTAAGTGAGAAACCGTTACAATTTATTATTTGTCATATTTATCCAACCATTTTATTAAGTGTATTCAAGATGAAGCAGTACGCGAACAAATTAATTGCGTTCTCGATGAGGACAAAATTGTCGGCAAAGAGCCTAATAGCCCACTCTAAGCATGGTTTTTGATGGAATAAAGAAATTTAATAAAGGTGAAAAGCATTTAAAGATTACTTGCGATAACGCTGGTGTGGTGGGCAGAATAAAAATATTGCTATCGTTTGATTTTATCTATATTTAGTAATTTGCGGCTACTATGAAAGAATTGAATTAAATTTTATGATACCTGGTCATACTAAATTCAAGTGCGATGATAGTTTTGGATTGATTAAGACAAGTGCAGCAGAATTAAATAAGGTCCAATGCTATAAAAATGGAAAAGGCTTCAATATTTAGACCTTTATTCCGTGTTGGGAATTTCCTTTAAAAAATTGAATGGTTTGCAAAAATACCAGCATTTTCTCTTTAAAGCAGCTAACCCTGGAGTTGTCAAAGCCCAGATGGTTGCTAATGGTGCTTTTACTGAATTTAATTTATTGAAGACTAGAAAAGCCAGTGTTTCTGAAATTACCAAAGAAATTAAATCTTTTCATATAATATGCATACAATCATAAAGAGCAATTGTGTGATCATGACGTAATTTTGAGATCACGGGGATTTCAGGTGACATTAATTAAACAAGTGAAGCCTTCATCTCCTTCTCACACTGCAACAATAATATCTTAAACTTGCTGATATCTCTCAATTAAAACTACAATTATTTAGCTTTACAATGATATAAATTTTATTGGAAAAATAGCGACTTGAAATTTTCATATTTTACTAGTAAAATCTTGTATCGTATTTATACGTGGTACTTTGGCAGGGCCTCTAATTATCCTGACAAGTCTAACAAAGAAAATGTTGGTTTAACTTTAATAACTGTTTTGGTTATTGGAATTATTGCTTCATTATAGATAAAGAACAAAAAAGAAAAACAATCGAATATTACTAGTTTTATAACACGCATCCATTTTTCTCTATGAATGATAGATATTGGATAACACTATTTTACCAGAAGACTTGAGCAGCCAACGTACTCCGAAAAAAAGGGTAGACTCATTAAAAAGGCCAAACAAATTACACTGGCAAAAGTTGATAAAGCCGAACTTTGTCGTCTGTGAATCGGTAGTCTCAAAGATACTTAAAAATCAATTATATTGGTTATCAATTGATCCCAAGCCAAAACTAAGCGAAGCCGCATAGCTAAGTTTCCTATACTCGAAGAAGCACTTAGTCTTTGGGTCTCAAACTCTCACTGGCGGCATAATTCGATGTAAAGTTTGCTGAGCGATTTTACATATTGATAATTTCGGTGGATCAGAGGGATGGCTCTCGAACTTTAGAAAAGATTTAACATAAAAGAGTATAAAAGACAAGGAGAAGCTGTCAGCGTTTCAATTGATCAAATTCCAAGTTATCGTAACGAATTAAGAAATACAATTAAAGAATATAATCCCCGAAATGTGTATAACTGTGACGAGACGGCCTTATATTGGCATATCGATCCAGACAAAACCCTTGCAAGTGGTCCTGTTCAAGGGAAGAAAAGTCAAAAGATAGAGCTACAATCTTAATACATGTAATAGTACTGGAGAGGATAAACAGCCGATTCTTTTTATCTATTAAGTACCGAAATCCCCGTTCTCTTCGGCATGCAGTCGAACCCCGTTATACCGAAGCCGCCGGGGAGACGCCTACGATTCGTTATAACGAGAAATTCGGTAAAAAAAAGTACCTTTTTTGTAACGAAGTTAGCCTAAAGTCAAGTAATATTCGGTATACTGAGGCTTTCATAAATAATGTTTTATTAAACAGCAAAATAAACACCGAAGAAGAATAAGTCGAACTAATTACTAAAAAATGAATCTATTCTAGTCAACTCGGATATCATAGCTAATCGTACAAAGCTCGTTTGTTAGTCTCTTGCTTAATGCGAGTAATTTGTTCCGTCAAAGCCGTGATTTGGGCGGATTAATCTGGCGCAAATTTATCGCGAGTTAGACGATATACTGTAGATCTTACAGAGGACTGCCTACAGTCCACCCTCCATATATGCACCCTCCATATATGCACCCTCCATATATGCACGCCAAGTCTTATTCCCAAGCTTGGGAGTTACCGTAGAGCACTGAATATAGTACCCCGGGTACATATCTAGAACACCTCAAGTTTTTGAATTGTACCCGGGGGGATGTACCCGGGGTACTATGTACGGAGGAGGGTACTATTTTAGGGGGGTACTTTGAAATTCCTCGCATTGTACTATTACCATAGTATATGTAACACGTGACGTACGATAAACTATTTGTACCCGGGTACATTTCAAAAACTTTACCAAAAATTCCTGAATTGTACCCGGGTCCTAATTTAGGGGGATACTATTTAAGGGGGGTACTATATTCAGTGCTCTACGGTAGTTAGTGCAACGATATTAACTCCAACATCTCTTTCACGCTTGTTCTTAGCGAATGTACTCATTTACGAGTGCTTTCACTTATACTTAAACATGATCTTTTCCAACGAACAATTATTATTCTATCGAATTAATATGTTCGTTATAAAGCTTTCCTTAAGCAAAGCTTTCTTTATCGTAGCGAAAGTCTAACAGGAAGACAACTTCCATATCGCCACGTTTATAACAATAAGCTCCTTCTTCACGATAATCGCTTCAGGAGACTTTTGGGGCTAAATTGCATTTTTTTTATCCTTTCGTTCGAATAGATCGATTTTAATACTGAATCGCTTGGCACAAGCTAATGAAGTTCTGTAATAACAACATTTCGTTGTGCATTAAATCCGTATATATTAAGGTTAATTTCAGGGATGTTATGCAGGGACAATCATGTTTAGTTAACAACAGAGACGGTTGGATTTTATTTACCGATAGTTTAGTTTTTTATTTGAGAACAAGAGTTAGGACATAAACAGCCTTGCTTTTGCAAGCCGGATTAAATTTTGCGACAAGTATTATATATTAGGAATTCTGAAATTCGAAATAATCTTTTTTTTTTAATTCGGTAGCACAAAGTCACTTAAATATTCCACGTAAACTAACACACGCGATTGGAACAACTTTGCATTATTTACATTGTTGTCTTGATTTACGTCAAGCGAGTTTGTGATTGCACCGCCATTCCGAGTTTACAGGAATAGAACTGCGCAGTTAAATGTGATGCGGGCATATTTTTAAATTGCGAAATCGATGACGTAATTCAATAATTCTAACACATGGCCGTGTGAAGAAAAATATAGAGGCGAAAAGTTAATGCATGCTTTCTGTAGAGTTAATTCTGACAAAAATAAATCCCAATTATGCCGACTAACCACGTACAAGACTGTATGGAACACGTACAGAATGGGAAAAGAGGGCGAAAAATAACATGACAAATATACCATGTGGAAACAGAGCAATATTACTCCGTGATTCTGGTTTAGAAACGGAAGATTATGCCACGCGGTTTTTTTTAACTCTTCATCCTCTAACTCTTTTCGGATCATGTCCAACAGGAAGAAACGTAATTGTATTAAATCGATAATACAAAATCTTTTTTTCCCCCGATAACAGTTTTGCATATCAACTGACATTGTTTTTTTATTCACGTGTGGTGGGTGAATAATTCGCTAACAATCTGAGGTAGACTAAGCACTAAGCTAAAATAATCATGAACTCGAAAATAATCGTAATATTATAACGAAAAGTTGGTATGTAAAAAGTGCATTAAACACAGTAAACTGCCGGTTCACTTTGTTCCGAAAGGAATTTACAAATTTTCATTAATTTTTAATACTTTTCGTCTCCCTTCTGGTTCAGCTAAATCTAAACCAGTCGTTCTGCCGTTTTCTTCCGGCCACCTTTCTATTACCACTGACTCTTTTTGTGGTAAGCCTCCGTCAAGCTCGAACCAATATGATGCCGGAATAACCGCTTTATAAAATGTGACTTTAAGAGAGATAATGCGAATGGCAAAGATTACTTGTTCCGTATATTTGTCAACAGAGCGCATGTTCTCACTTCCTGTAAAGATGACAATATAATGACTGTTTGCAACACTATCAAAAATACAAACCTCTGCGACCAGCAGAGATATGATTTTCCTCATAACAACAAATTCAACGACTGATACATAAACTTCGTCATTGATGAATATATTATACATTGGTTGAATACTGGATTATGGTAAGCCGTAAATTAGGAAATTATTATCGGAATGAGTCAGACTTTTTCCCAATTACTCACACAATCATGAAAGGCCACTCATTTAGGCCAACGACGCGAAGCAAATCATCTACTAAAGCTTTGTCTTAGATCACTCATTCCTATCATCACTTCCACATTCCTCCAGACGCGCATCAATTTTACGATGAACGTCTGGACAGAAGTATCCGTAGTTTTGCTCATGCTATCAAGGTTATCAACATTGAGCGAGGGTAATGCGCTATGGTCGATATGTGGGAGAACATATCTCTCTGGTAAATCAATCGTTCCTTGAACAATGGGGACAAAATCCTCAGATGTCGCTGGGTGGAGATTTACTCTAAGCACCTGTTGTTTAAATATAGACGCCAAAGAATTAGCTATTATCTGAAGAGATCTCAAGTTTGGGCCAACTTATCAAAGCTCTTCTTGACCATATCTTAATGGGAGAAGGCACGTAAGAACTTAGCTGGTCGAAGAGAACATATAGGCCGAGGAAATTTCAAAGAGAGCATAGTGATGTAGTTACAACCAAAAATTTTGTGTGATCAATAGAAGTATAATCCGCAAAATATTAGCTCACATGGCGCATGTCTGTTCACTTCGGATGATTTTTCGATTACATTCGAGACAAGTGAGATGCACATTACCTTCAATATGTCCTACTTCGTTATCAATTCGATCAACTTTCCACTGGTCTGAATTCATACCCATAAGACATAATGACTTGTGATTTTTTAATTCGGGAACATGCTCAACAGGTAATTTAAATTCACGACTTTTATTTTTATTTTGATAACAATGCCTAATAATTTTTTCCAACAATTTGCTTTGATTCTCTCTTGCATTGACGTAACTAAATTTCAAGAATGACATTCCATTTCTCAACCATAAAACACTGCAGTTTTTGAGGCATTTTTCTCCCACCCTATTCTTACAATAGTCCCAGAGGTTTCAATGATTTGAGGTCAGGACTGTTACTTGGCCAGCACTCGAGAAATTTTCCAGCAGGAATAATTTGGCCAGGCTGGTAGAGGGGAAGCGTCCATAAACCCTCTCCTATTAGGATTGCATATTGCATCCAATGTTCGCCTTCAGGTTCATTTTGCTATTAACGCGCGTATGGCATCCAGCGTTCACCTTTTTACTGAACCAACAGACTACTTGCCCTACTGAAGGAAGTGAATACACCTCTTCTATTAAGATAACCATGATTCTCGCGCATCCGGCGTTCGCCCTAATACTAAACTACTTGCCCCTCCCGAATAATCGATATGGCCAATCATATATAAATTCGCACTTAAACGAATCGTGTTGAGAAGAAAAATTTAAAGAAACACTCAAAGTTGCTTTCTCGAACCCTTGTAAGCTTCAAAAGTTTATTTATATAGAAATAACGAAAATTGACTCACCAATGCATTCAGGCAAATATCGAGAGGAAATGGAGAGAATTACAAACACAAGCTGTAGCCATCTCTGCTGAAGAATAAGTTTCTTATAAAAAGCAGCGACCTTTTTGCATTGTGGAGAAATTAACTGTCCTACTTCGGTAGGAACAGCAAAGTTCCATCTTTTCATTATGAAACTAATCCAACAGGAGCTCACCTTCAAAGCAGCACAATGCTGAACGTTCACAAGGGGCTTGTTCTATTATGACACGTTGTTTTTTATCAAATCAAGACAGCCAAGACCCACACAATGTCCAGAAAGATAATCCCGACGATGTCATTCCAGCCACTCCAAAAAGGATCGGTAAGTCATAAGTCTTGTCAGATAGCTGGTTCAGATATAATATTTAAGTCAATAGCATGATAATAGTCCAATTGATGGTGACAACGTACTTCTAGTAAAACTGACCAATTTATTATACAGTCACCATCTTTGCTCCATGTTGGTCCTCTGAAAGTACTAGTGATTCGGAGAGTGACGAAGGTGATGCGAGTTGGCAGATATGCAAATGGAGGATCCAGATGTGGAAGAGGAATTATATGAGTTAGGGGAAGAAGCTAGAATATGAGAAGTAAACATACAAATTGCATTTAAGTTTGGTAATTATGATGAGAATCTTAAACAGAGTTTTATTTCTAGTGCAATACATTCTTTCATACTGGATGTTGAAGATGAAGTTGTATTGAAACACTTCAACAAAGAAGAAATGGAGGAAATAAGTCAAACACCAGGTCCTGTCATTCTTGAGTTGGCTGAAAATGTGACAGATTGTTTAAATAAATTTGTCAGCAAGGTGAATATTAATATATCTTATTTATCTACTCATTGCTAAATATGCCCTTTGTTCTTATCTAATAATTTACCAAATTTTTCTCTGATAGACAAGTTTAGATGAAATTAGAACAGTACTCAAGTGTCAAGCCTAGCCTAAAAGGCGACGTAATCCTCAGTGATTTCCGCTCAATGGTACAAACTATGGCACAGTGAATACTTGACACACAAGCGACACTAGATTCGACCGCATTGGGACAGATTTATGGTGTCAAAATAGTGAAACGGTAGTTAGACATATAAGCAGTTGTAGTTTTCCGCTCTGAACAGTGTCTTCAGTGTCTTCAGAATCTTCAGCATATTTGATTCTATTTGTCCTTATAATCCTTGTAATTAGAATAGCTCTTTGAATTCTAATAAATCTGTA